CCGATTTAAGGCGGTATAGGGGTTCCGTGTACAGATATCGTTGATTTATCGGATGGCAGTCTGCAGAGGATGTTCAAGCACTGCTGGACAGTATGCAAGTGTGGCAACAGCACAGCAATATATATACATTGGGAAATTAAATAAAAACACATACACTGCTATTGACAGGGTCTAAGCTTGGTGAATTAATGACGTTCCAGATTCTATAAAACTGTACGGATGTCATAGTGAGCAGCAGAATTAGCCTTTTTGGTCAGGAGAAAAAATTTTTCGGCATTTTCATTTGATTACAGGATACCATATTTGACTCTAATATCAACCCAGTTATACGAGCCGCAATAAACTAATCAGGCATGGCTACTTTTGTTCTCTTTGATTTCTACTTAGAGGTTTTACCAGTCTTGCTGATATTGGACTGATTAAGTTTACAGTAGTTTTTTGTAAACTTGCGAACTATCAGTTTTCATTTTTTTCCTGCTGAGGTAAAGAAAGATGAGAAGCTGCTTTGCTACTGTTTGTCGTTCACAAATAACACTCACAGCTCAAGAAGAACCTTACTAAGTGTCAGTTAAAAATTAATTGGAAGGAAATTTACTTACGACTACTCAGTTAAATTGTTGACGATTATTGAAATGTCTGTATAACCGATGTTTCAGCAGTATTTGCTTTTTTCAGCGGTTTGCTAGCCGGTCGAAGATAATAAATGCTAAATAAACATAAGCAAGATAGTCTTACTGACCACCTACCGTAGTGTTTAGTCTAAGAATCGTTAGTTAATCAGCAATGGTCAACAAGCATTTAGCCTCAACAATTGCGCATGACTACATACCGATTAACATATGTACCTTGTCTCCACTTCATTTTCAACACTTTTATAAGCCTCCGTTTAACACACGATTTATCGCTTTTAATTATTTACGTGTCCATATCCCGCAGAGAGTTACCGCAATTTCCGAATACTGTTCGCGCAAAAGCAGATAACATCTTTTGAATGTATTAAAAAATTTTCTGCCAATGAAAACGTTAACGCAGCATATCTGCTGCAGCTGATTTGTTTCGACGGAATTGGGTATATACATAATACAATTTTAATAAACAGCAATAACTGATGTGTGAAGTCTTATCGATCTTTTATATCGCAATTTGGTTTACTACAGTATCCTTTTTAGCAATATTAGTTAAATTACTATCACCATAGCAAAACAGTGGTTTTTTTTAGTCCTAGATACTAAAATTTGTTGAATACAATGCAGACTGGCACCCACGCCAGTCTTCCTTTTACTTATGGCCCTGACTATGAGCAAAAGTTGTATAATCATTCCGCTGTCAGATGCCCCTATCGCTTTTTTCCATAGACCCTGATCAATTTATGCCATATTTCCATTTAATTGCTATACCACTTAATTCCTTCAGATGCTGTGTAGATCGCCGTCAATTTGTTTAGTGCCTCAAATAAACCAAATGAACGTCTCAATATTTCCGTTTTGATAACTCTTTGTCCTTCGACAGCCGAATTTTTCATATTAACTCTCTATGGACTCTACGAAATGGTCCCGTCATTTCCTATGAATAAAATCGGGTTTGACGAAAAAAATACGCAGATCCAGCATTGAAGTTGCAAATCGCCTGCACTAGTAGCATGTAAACCTTGCTTCTCCATGTAAGTCTTACAGTTTCTTTTCTTTTGAACTCAGATGTGCATTTAAACGTCTTAGAGTTCATATCAAATTATTTTTCTTTAGAGGTTCACTCAGCACTTTCTACCAAACTTTGTATAAAACTATGGCAGTGTTTAATAACGTAGAAAAGGCAAAAAGTATTGCCCAAAGTAAATGTTGATGATGCTCATGACTCAAAAAACCACTGAAGTATTTTAACTCCTGCATCTTTCCATAAATCCCAACGGTGTCACTTAAGCAAATTTAACCTTTTTATAGTTGACCAATTTTATTTCACACCGTAAACATCACTTTTCCAACCACCTCTCCAACTTCCAAGTCATTTAAAGGCGGAACACTTAAACGATATGCAGCACGCGTTTAAAGCCAAAGGGGACTTTAGTACGGTAATTTCTGGCAACAACTAGTTAGGAAACATTTATATAAATGCATATTGCAACAACATCATGCTGTCACGTAACAGTTAGAAATGACGCAGTGTTGTGAACTAATTGGTTATAAAACGGATGCAAGAAATAAACAAAAATCGCAAAAGGCTCTGCAAAATTCAGAACTTGAAATCGTTAAAAATACCCGAAGACAGGCAATTCAAAAGATCAGTAAAAAACTGTAGAAAGGAATGTTAGGATACTAGTCTTGCATTTAGAATTGAAAACAAAGTTATCTCAAGCAACAATCCTTTAAAACCCTTAATTTGTATTCTGGCAGTAATTCGTCTGAGATCACAAATTGCTACAACTATGACAAGTAAAGGTACCAACACAAACAATGGAAAGTGAAGATTTGCACATTTACTGCTCGGAAGAAGAAATACCATCCGAATTTTCTGTTTGCATTTCACTAACAAATTTTTTTAACTGTAACAAAAAGTCATCGTATCCACGAAGAGGCCGCAGTTGTTCTCTAATCCATCGGGAAACTTTAGCAGCATTGGGGTTTGCGCGCGTTGGTAAAAGTCGATCATCTACGAGCAAAATGACTCCCCAGTCATTACGATGCCTCAAACATCTGAAGAATAAAACTCCAAGTTTTAGCCACTAACGAAAAATTCTGACAAAGTGACACTAAAGGTCATTAAAAATCATTACTTGAATCAGGTTTACTAATCAATGCGAAAATAATCACCTGCCAAGAGCTTGGTTCAAAGCTCTGTAAGCTTGCATCGTATACCAGTCGTCCCCGGATAAAAGATGCAGTTTTTTGCTATTTTCATCGTTGAAACGTTTCTTTTCTACGACCTTTAACAAGGAAGGTAGTAGCTCACAACCCATAAACTGCAGGTAACGACCATAAAAAGGAAAAGTACTGTAAAAAACAAAGACGAGTGGGAGTACTTACCTGTTCGTCCATTGCATTTGGAAATGGAATGCCAACAGAAACAACGCAACGGGCTCTGTCATCAGCAAAATCAATACCTTCTGAAACCTATTTGAAGAAATACAAAAAAGACATTTCAAGCATTTCTTACGCGAATACTTAAGAATAACACTTGAGTGCATAAAAATTAGTATACTTTGCCTCTAAAAACTGCAAACATCAATGCCCCAGTGCAGTTGGAGCCAAAATGCTGTGGAAATACGATTGCTTCTTCATACTCAGCCATAACCTCGTTCATTTGTGCAGAACGTCTAGGCTCCTTTAGAACATGCTAAAAGACAAATTAACTAGAACTAGTCGTACAAGCAGTTTGGGTTTATCGAGCGCAGAAATCTGTGATAAAAAAATGAACTATTTTGTTATAAAGGGAAGTCTTAGAAACAGACGACCTCACTTGGTTAGAAAGCACTGTGAAAAAATTTCAACTTATTTACCTCACCTTAAGAGTCATAATCTGCCTAAGTATGCCAGAAGATTCCATAAAATCATATAGCTGCTCTAGTAGTCGGTAGCTGGCAACAAAACAGAGAATACCCTTCGGTACCCTTTCGCATACAGCTCTCAAAAAACCAAATAATTTTGAGATATATCAACTGCTATAAGCAGTCCTAATCCTTGTCAAGTCGGGCTTTTTATAAAACACAAAATATTTCATCAAAACCCT